TGGAACCAAGCAACAAAACAACCGAAGAACAGCCGAATGTTCTTGGTTTCTAAAACCAGCAAACAAACCATGGACTGTGTTTGATAAGGCGCAGGTGAACTCACCTGTCCACGGCGATGGCCAGCAGTGCGTTGGTGGACCACGTAGAGCGAGACGCGTGCGGACAGGTAGTTGGTTGAGGCGCAGAGCAGCAGGCCGTGATCCCACGACAGCTGCTTCACGACGTAGTAATCCAGCAGGAAGGGACAGCACACCACCGCCACCAGCACGTCCGACACGGCCAGGTTGGCGATCAGCAGGTTGGTCAGGTTTCGGAGCTGCTTGTAACGGGCAGGCTGGCGATGAACAGGCAGTTTCCAACGCCACACACCAGCATGATGCCACCAGCACCACGGCGATGACGATGGTGGCCACGAAGAAGGCCCGGCCCTGCGTGGTGTCCGGGGATCTCGTCCAGGGAACTCGTAGTCCAGGCCCATCACCAGCCAGGAGTAGTCCTGTTAAGCCGCCAAGCTGATGTTCGTCAGGTTTCCCATTTTGGATCAGGTCAACATGCTCGGACTTAGAGTCTGCAGGTTCAGAGAAAACAGGTTAAGGTTTAAAGGTTAAAACAGTCAGTCGATGATGAAATTCACATTTTGGCCAATCAGAACATCTTCTGTTCACCGTTGGGTTCAAAGTAAAGATCATGAAATACAGGAGCCATGGAGACTCTGCAGCTGGAACATGATTATTTCCTTTATTATAAACTTCAAATTTACAAACTGTAATTATGAAATCTGTAGAAAAATAATGTTGTAAAAACAAACAGAGACAAAAGGTACAAAAACAACAACAACAGAATGAACCATAAGTTAAACAAATATAAAACAAAAATAATAATAACAATGAAATAAAAACGTACATATTAAGGCACTTTGTCAGTGAGGTCATTTTCTATAACACAAAAGATCTTTGGTGCGTTTGGATTCAGTCATTTCAGGGACGTGGCGATGGGCGGAGTCTTTAAAATTTTTCCTTATGGATAAAAGACTTTACTAAAATGGAAAAACATTGATCATTAGGTCCAAGATTCACTGTAGAAGATGTGAAATCCCTGATGGAGATCATGATGTCGTGCCGAAAAACATTTCACTGTCTTAAAGAAAGAGACAGTTTCCCGCTCATTTCCACACAGCTGTTTCTCAGGGGAGAACTTGGCCACGCCTCCACGCCGCTTGTCATTTTGTTGAGATGCTGTAACAACTGTCGGGGTTTGAGGGGTAAGGGCTGGACACAAATGCAGCCAACACATGGGAGACGGTGCAAAAAGGTTTATTAACTTAAAGCTTACACAACACAGGTGAAACCAGAAACACAGGTGAAGACCAGGGAAACACCAGGTGAAGACCAGGTAAACACAGGTGGAATGACCAAGGAAACCACACAGGTGAAGACCAGGGAAACACAGGTGAAGCAGTGTTCAATCACCTGGCCTCCCTTGTCTATATAGTCTTTGTGCTCCCTTTGTCTGGGTCGGTTTGTCTGTTGTCTCGCTGTCGATTTCTGGGTTTGTCCTCGGTCTGTTCATGTTGCCTGTTCCTGTCCCCTGTTCTGAGTTCATGTGTTTCCCTGGTCTTCACCTGTGTTTACCTGGTCTTCACCTGTGTTTCCCTGGTCTTCCCCTGTGTTTCCCTGGTCTTCACCTGTGTTTCCCTGGTCTTCCCCTGTGTTTCCCTGGTCTTCACCTGTGTTTCCCTGGTCTTCCCCTGTGTTTCCCTGGTCTTCACCTGTGTTTCCCTGGTCTTCCCCTGTGTTTCCCTGGTCTTCACCTGTGTTTCCCTGGTCTTCCCCTGTGTTTCCCTGGTCTTCACCTGTGTTTACCTGTGCTTCACCTGTGTTGTGTAAGCTTTAAGTTAATAAACCTTTTTGCACCGTCTCCCATGTGTTGGCTGCATTTGTGTCCAGCCCTTACCCCTCAAACCCTGACAGTTGTGACAGCATCTCAACAAAATGACAAGCGGCGTGGAGGCGTGGCCAAGTTCTCCCCTGAGAAACAGCTGTGTGGAAATGAGCGGGAAACTGTCTCTTTCTTAAGACAGTGAAATGTTTTTCGGCACGACATCATGATCTCCATCAGGGATTTCACATCTTCTACAGTGAATCTTGGACCTAATGATCAATGTTTTTCCCATTTTAGTAAAGTCTTTTATCCATAAGGACAAATTTTAAAGACTCCGCCCATCGCCACGTCCCTGAAATGACTGAATCCAAACGCACCAAAGATCTTTGTGTTATAGAAAATGACCTCACTGACAAAGTGCCTTAATATGTACGTTTTTATTTCATTGTTATTATTATTTTGTTTTATATTTGTTTAACTTATGGTTCATTCTGTTGTTGTTGTTTTTGTACCTTTTGTCTCTGTTTGTTTTTACAACATTATTTTTCTACAGATTTCATAATTACAGTTTGTACATTTGAAGTTTATAATAAAGGAAATAATCATGTTCCAGCTGCAGGAGTCTCCATGGCTCCTGTATTTCATGATCTTTACTTTGACCCCAACGGTGACAGAAGATGTTCTGATTGGCCCAAATGTGAATTTCATCATCGACTGACTGTTTTAACCTTTAACCTTTAACCTGTTTTCTCTGAACCTGCAGACTCTAAGTCCGAGCATGTTGACCTGATCCAAAATGGGAAACCTGACCAACATCAGCTTGGCGCTAACAGACTACTTCCTGGCTGGTGATGGCCTGGACTACGAGGTTCCTCTGGACGAGATCCCGGACACCACGCAGGGCCGGGCCTTCTTCGTGGCCACCATCGTCATCGCCGTGGTGCTGGTGGGCATCATGCTGGTGTGTGGCGTTGGAAACTGCCTGTTCATCGCCAGCCTCGCCCGTTACAAGCAGCTCCGAAACCTGACCAACCTGCTGATCGCCAACCTGGCCGTGTCGGACGTGCTGGTGGCGGTGGTGTGCTGTCCCTTCCTGCTGGATTACTACGTGGTGAAGCAGCTGTCGTGGGATCACGGCCTGCTGCTCTGCGCCTCCACCAACTACCTGCGCACCGTCTCGCTCTACGTGTCCACCAACGCACTGCTGGCCATCGCCGTGGACAGGTGAGTTCACCTGCGCCTTCATCAAACACAGTCCATGGTTTGTTTCTGGTTTTAGAACCAAGAACATTCGGCTGTTCTTCGGTTGTTTTGTTGCTTGGTTTCCAAAACACGTCAAATATTCCTCCACAGATTTAAATGTGAGTCGGAGGATGATTGGGTCGATGGCCGAGGAACGAGCGCAACCGATTGGCTGCTGACAAAACTGTTTGTTTTAGAGGCTAAATTCTTGTCGACATTCGATTTTCTGCAGAAGTTCATTGACCACTCCTCCTGTGGTGCAGCCAGCACACACCTGTGCACCGTCACTGAATCATTCATCTTATGATGATGCAGGTATTTGATCTGATGAATCATTAAAAACACACAGATAAATGACACACAGACGATGACCCTGAACACAACACCTCACAGGAGAGGGGAAACCTAAGACCTGGTTAATCCAGAAGGAAACCTCCAGAGGATTTAAAAGAGCAGCTGAGCAGAATCATCTGTGAGGAAGCAGAACTCTCCACAGATGTGTCGGGTTCATGCGTGTCCAGGAGTTTCATCCATGAAGACGACACAGTCCTGATCAGCTCCAGGTTGGAAGGTCGATCGAGGGGAAAACTTCAGGGCTCACCTGTGGAGATGCTTGAATGAAAGAACAAGAAGTGGATTGTTTCTTTAGCAGATGACGGAGGAGGTTCAGAGGAAGTCACCGTCCATCCCCTCCCTTCTGGCCGGAGATACAGAGAACAGGTGTAAATATTCCTTTGTGTAAACGTTGACTGCAGCGCTCAGCAGCACTTCATCACGCCCGCTCTTCCTCCATTGACCAACAGATGTGTCTCTTTTATTGAGGCGTTCGCTGTGGCTGCTGTAATTGATGTGCGACGGCCTCTAGCTTGTGTTCTGTTCGTGGGCTCTACTGTAAATCAGACAATAAAGATCTCTGGACAAGGGAGGAATAGTTAACACGGACCTTTCCTTATAGTTTTTCACGTTGATTGGCTTCATTCTTCTCGAGCGTTGGCACAGAAACAAGTACTAAATGTTCAGGACTTGTGATCACCGTCACTGATGTGAACTGTATTAGTGTGAAGTATTCTTCCTCCGTCTGCAGCTCTACATCTCAACAGCCTGACGTTTCACTGGCCTTTGAAATGAGACAGTATGTCTTCAGATCCAGCCTGCGAAGGATGCGGCCCCTGAACCGGGTCACAGCTGAAGTTTATGAATGAAATGACGTACGTACAAAAATACCAGATCACCAACACCCACTGCCGGGAAGAAACCACGTGCAGCAGCAGAGAAAACTCACATGTAGCCTCTTTAAACCAGCTCCAGTTCTCCAGGTTCTTGTCAGCTGTGATGTTCCGGCGTCTTGGAGAACCTGCCTCGGTTCTTCTGTCTCTTCATGTGATCCAGACCGACTCCATGATGCTGAGACCGGGTCCCTGTGGGGAGATAGGACCAATCAGACGGCTCCTGATGACGACGACAACGACGACAACGATGATGATAATGATGATGATGATGATGATGATGATGATGATGATGATGATGATGATGGAGGAGGGTCTGAAACAGTGCTGTGAAGACAAATGATACTGTGCAGAGACAGAATGTCAATATGAGACAAATGAAGCCGAGAATGTGAGAATAAGTGAAAACTGCAGCTTCAGTTGTTGGAGCTCATCTCTGAACCTTTGGACCCTGAAGTGAAGCAGCTGATCGTGAGCAGGACTCCACAGCCGCTCCAAACAGATCTGAGAGCAGCCATCAGCTGACCGCAGATGATTTACGTCCTGCTACAATAAAAGCTGCTGCTGGGCTTCCCCTCGGCTTCTGAATGAAATCCATCATCAGCTGTAGCTCACACTGTGGGACCAGCAGCCCCCCCCCCCCGGGTCATTTATCATGGCCGACAGCCCGTACCTGAACCTTCCCTGTATGAATAGCATCTGCAGACAGGAAAGAGGAATGATCTGCTTCTGGTTTCCAACATCTGTCAGCGTGTCTGATCACGTCCTCCTCACATCTGGATCAAGAGTTCAGCACTTCATCACATTACAGCTCATTACAGTGTTCGGTTCAACACTTACATCAGACACAGCAGCTAATCTGCATCCAATCAGCCACAGATCCCCTTAAACTGCCTCAGAGTCCCTGCAAGATAAAGTATATCCAACTTCAGACTGACGGTGACGGCAGAGCGATGTCTGGTTTCTGAACTGTACGTCTCTCTAGATTAAATCTTACTTTTATTACTGCAGCTGAAACAAAGTGTTTGTCAGCAGCAGTTTTCATGGGAGTTGTAGTTTGGATTCCTTCAGTGTCAGTGGGTCAGGTGAGTCTGAGCGACGCTGTACGGAGGTTGATGCTAACCTTTGTTCTGACTGTTTCTCTGATCGCTCATGAACCAGACGTTCAGCAGGTTTTTACCAGCAACAGGCGACGAAGAAACGTGACCAGGATTAAAATCACTGATTTCTCTGTTGGAGAATTGATAGAAACATTTGTGATGATGTCAGAACACAACTCAACATGTAGAACGTAGAACATAGAACATGGAGCAGAGGGATGAGAACTTTGCTCAGATCTTTGACTTGTGTAAAAGTACCATCACCACAGTGTAGAAATACAGTTTACAAGTACTCTGTGTAAAACTACACAATCCTGCATCAAAATACAGAAACAAACACCAAAGTAAAATCCCTCATGAATATATAGATGACTTTACTGGAGTGTATTTCTTGCACCACAGCTGCTGCTCTTGATAAAGAACGACCCGTCCTCTCTGTCTGCAGGTACATGGTCATCCTCCACCCTCTGAAGCCTCGTATGAAGCACCAGACGGCGTACTGCGTGATCCTGACGGTTTGGATCGTCCCCATCTTCATCTCCATCCCTTCGGCCTACATGGCCTCCGAGACCACGTACCCGCACGTGGCGGGTCGCACCCACAAGACCTTCTGTGCTCAGATCTGGCCCGTGGACCAGCAGGTTTACTACCGCTCATACTTCCTCCTCGTCTTCGCCCTGGAGTTCATGGGCCCCGTGACCGTCATGGCGGTCTGCTACATCCGGATCTCCAGGGAGCTGTGGTTTAAGGATGTTCCGGGTTTCCAGACGGAGCAGATCCGGAAGAGGCTCCAGAGGCGTCGGAGGACGGTGGTGGTGCTGATTCTGGTGCTGGTCGCCTACGTCCTGTGTTGGGCGCCGTACTATGGCTTCGCCTTGCTGCGGGACTTTTACCCCACCCTCATCTCCAGGGACAGGAACTCCCTGGTGGCCTTCTATATAATCGAGTGCATCGCCATGAGCAACGGGGTCATCAATACCCTCTCCTTCGTGAGCGTCCAAAACAACACCAAGCGCCTGAAGAAGGCGGGCAAGTTCCCGCCGAGGCTGGTGACCTTCGTAGCCGCCAAGTTGGTGGATGAAGGGGAGGCACGGACGTCCTCCCTCCGAGTGACGGAGGACGCGGACGGAGCTCGGCCGAGGTAGAGCCGATGGTTCAGGTGAGAGGCGGAGCTTCAGTGTCCCGCTCTGCTCAAGAAATAAACTTCAGGATTTCTCTCCTGAAACAGACGAAGACGTTCCTGAAGCAACAGTTCAGTGTGTGTGTGTGTGTGTGTGTGTGTGAGTGTGTCTGTGTGTGTCTGTGTGTGTGTGTGTCTGCGTGTGTGTCTGTGTGTGTGTCTGCGTGTGTGTGTCTGTCTGTCTGTGTGTGTGTCTGTGTGTGTGTGTCTGTGTGTGTGTGTCTGTGTGTGTGTGTCTGTGTGTGTGTGTCTGTGTGTGTGTGTCTGTGTGTGTGTGTCTGTGTGTGTGTGTCTGTGTGTGTGTGTCTGTGTGTGTGTGTCTGTGTGTGTGTGTCTGTGTGTGTGTGTCTGTGTGTGTGTGTCTGTGTGTGTGTGTCTGTGTGTGTGTGTCTGTGTGTGTGTGTCTGTGTGTGTGTGTGTGTGTGTCTGTGTGTGACTGTGTGTGTGTGTGTCTGCGTGTGTGTCTGTGTGTGTGTCTGCGTGTGTGTGTCTGTCTGTGTGTGTGTGTGTGTGTCTGTCTGTGTGTCTGCGTGTGTGTGTCTGTGTGTGTGTGTGACTGTGTGTGTGTGTGTCTGTGTGTGAGATTATTGTGAGAGTGTTAATCCTGTCTGACAGTTCACACTATGACACCGTCCATATATATTTATATATAATATTTATATATATAAATATTATATATGAAACCTATTAGATTAGAACCGGAACAGTTCAATATATTGATTATATCTGTACATATTATATTTCCGTACGGGATGATCAAAGCAGTTCATCTTCCCTCTGTGTGTTAATGAAACCAGCTTTGACTGAGAAACTGAATGAGGAGATATGATATGATATGATTGGGTGGGGTGGGGGTGGGGGTGGGGTTCAGCTTCAGATCACCGCTGTTATAAACATGTGTGTTGTCGTGTCACGCCGACAGTGTTCTGTGTTCAGACCTGCAGCTCTGGAGTCGTGAAAGCAGACGTGGCGTTTGCAGCTGTTTCCTGTTTAAATTCATGAGGCCGCACGTCGGTTCCTGATCATCGATGAATGCAAAGAGTCAGCTGCCGGAGTCACGACGCACCATCAGCCAGCTGACGGGCAGCAGTGACTTCAGATCAGCTGTGACCGACGATTCACGCTCATGCAGGAAGAGTCAGCAGACCTGATGTGTTGACTGACACGCTGCTCTCTGATTGGTTCATTTTAATAATCGTTTGAAGCCAAAGAGGAAAATTTAGACTGAATCCATGTCAGTGAATCTGGACCGTGTTTCTGTTTCTCCCGTGAATCATGTGACGAGCGCTCACATTTATCTGGTGACCCTCTGGAGGAACCTGAGCCTTATGTTGGGAACCAGTGGACTCAACTATCTGAGTGTATGTGACGTAGTTAAAGCTGCTACAACAGTCACATGATTCAGGATCAATGATCTGATGATGTCAGAGAGAATCAGGAAGTACTTTTACTGTGATACGGTTTACACCAGATCATAATGTGTGTCTTAATTGTTTGAAAATGAAACTCAACATTTAAATAAAATGAGATTTTTTGGTGATTTTCTTCGTCTTTCCTTAAAATCGGTTCTAAAATCGGTTGGTTCTTGTGGAAGAATTCAGACTCGTGACCAAGAAATCAAGACAGGAGAGATTTCACTTTCATCAGTATTTAAACAGGATATAAAGAACAGACCAACAAACTGTAAAAACTGTCAGAACTCCTGAATTAAACTTATTGACAAGGACAGAGTGAAATAAAGTCTGATGGAATCCAGTGAAAATGAAAAACAATGCACGGACTTCCCTTCCTCTTCCAGCTGTGAACCCACTGCTGGAGAATATTCCCAGTGACTCCCAGTTCAGACACTTCACACTCAGTGGTTTGTCCCAGTTCCAAAAACACAAACTGAAAAGTCATAGCTGACGGCAGAAGAACGCTTTTCCATTTAAATCTGTGGGATTCATACAAAAAAACAAAACAACCTACGGCCAGTCGTTGTTGTTTGTGGTTGCCATGACGACACCTGTACAGACTTTGCACCATGGCAGCAGCCGGTAACTTTGAAAACACAAAAACACTAAGTCAGAAATCTGGTGAGATGATGTCAGTAAACAGACGAGAGGCCGCGGAGCCGTCGACACCGAGGTGCCGAGAGCTCAGACTTCAGAGCAGCTCGCACCACGACCTCGTTCCCTGAGAACCACCCGGGAGTTTCTCAACGTTGATGAAGTCTTACTTCAAAGGATAATCGTAGTTACCTACAAAAATAAATGTCTGTGCTGTAGAGACGTTTCAGTGTGAGTAGGAGTCAATCAGGCCTCAGCTGCTGCAGCTCTCAGGTGATTCAGTCTCATTAAACTGTGCACACAAAAAGCAAAAAGCCGCCTGATGCAGCTTTAAAAGCAAACAAACAAACAAACAAACAAACAAACAAACATGAGGAAGCTGAGTCTACTTCCTCCTCTTCAGAAACACCTTTGCTTCTCTCTGCAGTCTCTTGATGTCCTCCTTCCCGCTGTCGTCAGAGTCAGGAGGGACGTAGTCTGAGTCATCGCCCACGTCCTCGCTGTCGTCATTAATGAAGCTGTCCTCGTCCTCGTCCTCGTCGCCAGCGGGGCTCTTCTTGGGGGCGGCTCTTGTGGCGCGAGCTGCAGAAACATTAACAGTGTGAACAGGATGATAAAAGTCTGGGTTTGTTTCTGTGTTTTCATCACGTTACTTGAGGAACTCGACAGCCGAAGACGTTTGGTGAATAAAAGCATGTTGTGTTTTCTTTGGATGTTGTGTCTGCAAAGTAACAAATGACTGGAAATGTGGGAATGAAGCAGAATAATCTCTAACACTGCAAGGCATCAGTGCTGATGATCACAGCCCTCTCTCCCTCTGTCAGTATAAACGCAGATGGAGGTGCGACACAGCGTCTTAAATCAGGAGGTGGAGAGCGCTGCGTGTCAACTGACACAACAAGATGCTAAAGCTGCTGTAAACAACACGTTCCTCAGTAAAGAGACGGTGTCGTTATCATTGAAGCTGTTCAGGTGTCAAGCAGAAAAACACACAGAAAAACAAACAGACAACAAACAGAAAACCAACAGAAAACAAACAGAAAACAAACAGAAAACCAACAGAAAACAAACAGAAAAACAAACAGAAAACAAACAGAAAACCAACTGTTGGTTTTCTGTCTGTTTTTTCTGTTTTTGGTTTTCTGTTTGTTTTTCTGTTTGTTTTTTTCTGTTTGTTTTCTCTCTGTTGTTTTCTGTTTGTTTTTCTGTTTGGTTTTTCTGTTTGGTTTTCTGGTTGTTTTTTCTGTTTTGTTTTTTGTTAGTTTCTTGTTTGTTTTTTCTGTTTGTTTTCTGTTTGTTTTTTCTATTTGTTTCTGTTTGTTTTCTGTTTGTTCTTCTATTTGTTTTCTGTTTGTTTTTTGTTGTTCTGTTTGTTTTTCTGTTTGGTTTTCTGTTTTTGTTTTCTGTTTGTTTTTCTGTTTGTTTTCTGTTTGTTTTTTTCTGTTGGTTTTTTCTGTTTGTTTTCTGTTTTGTGTTTTCTTTGTTTTGTTTGTTTTCTGTTTGTTTCTGTTTGTTTTTCTGTTCTGTTTGTTTGCTG